GGGCGGCGCGAGGGGGGGGGGGGGATGGAAGCCAGTGTGCTGCTCACCTGGGCTGCAGGGGCAGAGGGGGACTAGCGCCAGTGTGCAGCTGGGCTAAGTAGGGTCCAGAAACTGGCACATTGTTCAGCTGGGCCATCCTGGGAGCTTCGCATTCCCCCACATACAGGCCTGCAACATACTTCATGCTGTACACGCACTAACAGATATAACTGTCTCATTCCTATTTGGTATGGGGTGGGGGAGGCCGTAAAAATCTGTTTAATACTGTCAAATCAAAGGGAGCTTACCATTTCAGAGAACTTGCCAAATTTGGAGAGTTTGAAAGACAAGCTGCAATTTTCTGCAATTAGGCAGTGCTGTAGACCAAAGGGGAAAAAAGGAGACTCAGGGAGACCTGAATTGTTTGCGCCTCAATCTATTAATCAGAAAAGACAAGTCCCTGGCCAAATTCCCCTACGTGAGGACAGTTTTAAAGAGCATAACAAAAGGCAATCTTGTAAAACAGATATTTGGTGTCTTCGCATGCAGATAAACCAGTCACCACTGCAATATATGTGGATGTAATGTAAATGATCTACTTTCTGTATTCTTCAAGGGACCAATGGCATCTCAACTTTTGCAAGACTTTATTTGTGCCTATAATGATAGGCATTGCTTTGCAGTTAACTGTATCTATAGTCAGAATAACTTTTCCTTCATAGAACTTTGTACATGTCAAGGCAAGGAAGACTTGATAACCCACACACTTTCAATAGAGATCAGGCTGGTCATAGTAATTATATTGACTACAAACGTCAGCAGTCACATTTAAATTATACCAGTACAAATTTATTATTAGATTTTGTTTTACCCTTTAGATTACTGTTGTCGTGCTTAAAAGTCACAAAGAAATCAAATTTTCTCTTGAAAAGGCGATTATAACAAACAAGTGCAAATATTTCATGGTGGTCATTTTAATGTGTTGATAGTGCCACTGTTTATTCCTGTTCCTACGGTAATAGCACCACATAACAGCTAGGCATAATATCTCATCTTAAAGTAGACATAAATTTTCAAAATGATGTATGATGTGCATAGACATAGAGAGGGTACATTAAATCAACCAAATTGTGGTGCCTGCCACTCGCCTATGATGACATCAGTATCAGATATAGGAGTGACAAGCAAGAAGCACATAAATAAAAAGGTAGATTCTAACCATACTTTATTATTAACTGATGTACCACATTCCTGACTTTAAATATTTTTGCTAATTCCCAAAGTACAAATATTTTGTTTTTAAGCCAGTTTCACACCTGCAATTCATATACAGAAATTCACCAATGTCATTTCTATAGTTTTTATCAGATGTAAGAAGGAACCATTCTAGTACAGGAATCCTGACCAATCTATACTTAGCAGTGTCACCATCCTGTGCAGTGTGAATATAAAGCACTAAAGCAGGGGGTTCTCAAACTTTTGTACTGGTGACCCCTTTCACACAGCAAGCCTCCGAGGGTGACCTTCCTTCTTATAAATGAAAAACACGTTTTTAATATTAAATACTACTAGCAGGCTGTACCAGCCCCCCTTTCTCTGAGAATGTAATGATGTCATTCTGTCGCCTGGAAGGAAAACCGAGACCGAGACCGAGACCGAGACCGAGACCGAGACCGAGACCGAGACCGAGACCGAGACCGAGACCGAGACCGAGACCGAGACCGAGACCGAGACCGAGACCGAGACCGAGACCGAGACCGAGACCAAAAAATGCTGGAGATGAAGCAGGGCTTAGGGATGGAAACTGAGAGCTCATGACCTCCATGTAATAACCTTACAAACCCCTTAGGAGTCACAATCCCCAGTTTAAGAACCCCTATACCAAGAGAAACCAGACATTCTGAGATGCAATATCACCAATATGCCAGTGACCTAAATCACTTTTGTCATAATTGGATGGCAGTCTCTCCAGAGTCTGACACCAATGCGAGATAGTTGGCTAAAGGAGGCCTTACATAAAAAAAATGGTGGTTAGGGAGAAGCCTCTGGAGGGTGTGACAGTGGTAGGAACTGCATCTGTTTCCTCAATGATAAGGGATACAATAACTTTTTGATAAGGAAATTTGTAACCTAAGGTTTCTTTGGAACCCTGGTCTCCTCCTGAAATTATATGTAGTCGCATCTTTCAAGTCTACATTTTGCTATCTCTTCTTGGACAAGGGATTATGAACTTCTCTTTGAAATAGACCTGAGTGTATTTTCTCACCCCACATTTGCCTACTGTACAGATCAGTAGCTGGGGCTCTCTTTGAGGGCTATCCAAATGTTTTCAATAGTGCCCAAAGCAGTAGTCTACTTGCTTTGCTGTCTACATTCTATGAGCTGCATGCAGGAGGCCAACAGCCTCCAAGGGCCCCTGGACAAAGTGTGGGAGAGCCAGTTCTGCACTCCCTGAAGAGGAGGGGCCTCAGGTGGAAGGGCTGGGCTGAGACCGCTAGCCTCCTACCTTATCCCTCCACCCCTCGAATCCTCAGAGCCACAGGGAGCACAAGGTATGGTGTTCCAGCAGCGATTTAAAGGATCTGGGGCTCCAGGTGCTGCCGCAGTAGCAGCCGAGAGCCCAGGCCCCTTTGAATCACCGGGCCCTGGGGCAAGTGACCCCTTTGCCTCCCTGCCACACACTGCTTGTGGAGGCTAAGCATTTTGCACATGCCATTGTATTCTTGTATTCCTCTATTCCCCCCCATACACACACCACGTTCATCATCCTCTCCTCCCTCTATATTGCAGGAACTCCCTACAACTTCCCTCACCCTTCCTCCGTGCCTCTTCCCCATGGCCAGGGCTCTGTGTGTCCCCAGCTTCTCCTTCTGCCACATGACAGCTGAAATATACCTTCCTATCTAGGGCCTGATTTCCCCTCACTAGCCCAAGAACCCCCAATCTCCCTTCCCACTAGTAGGTGTGCATACCTCCTCTACCCCCCATTCCTCCCCTCCCTGTAGCAGGGTCTCTTGGTCTCATCCCACACCAAGGGTTCCGTTTGCTCCTCCAATTCCCGCATCTACCCACATCAAGATTGCCCACTCAGCTGCTGAAATACTAGGGGATTTGTGCAGCCCATTTTCCCCTAACCCCATGCCAGGGTCTCTGCCCACCTTTCCTCCCTCAGCACTGTCTCTGTCTGACCTCTATCTCCCATACCACCAAGTAGGTTCTCCCATTCTCATCACCAGGAGTTCTGTTGCCACATTTCCCTCTTCCGCCATACTTTCTCCCACCCATTTCTCCTATGCCACTAGCTATGTGATTCCCCTCCCTCAAATCATACTCACAGAATCATAACAATGTCAGGACTGGAAAGGATTTTGAAGTCATCAAGGCCAGAACCCTGTACTGAGGCAGTAACAAGTAAATCCAGACCATCCCTGGCAGGTGTTTGTCCAACCTGTTCTTAACCTCCAATGATGGGGAATCTACAACCTCCCTGGGAAGCCTATTCCAAACTTTAGCTACCCTTCTAGTTAGAAATGTTTTCCTAATATCTGACATAAATCTCCCCTATTTCGGGTTAAGCTAATTACTTCTTGTCCTACCTTCAGTGGACATGGAGAACAATTGATCACTATCTTCTTTATGCCAGCCCTGAACATATTTGAAGTATTTTTTTAACCTTTCATCTTTGACAAAAACAACATGGACTTTCTCCTCTGAATTTGGTCCAAAATACTTTATTCTCCCTAGATAGGAAGGGAGAGGAACACTATGCCTCCTGCCCCATCACAGAGCAGGAGTTGAGGAGACAGGAGAGGGGAGGAATGAAGCCGCCTTCTCTCTCCTCTCCTGGCTGTCCCTGATGGCTGAGCATCTACATCACAGCTCCTATCAGAAAAAGTAATAATTTTTCTTCTGCCTGTCTGGGAGCCAATCACATTACATTCTATAGGACAGAAGAACATGGGTTATGCTGGAAGACATTAAGGAGTACCATCAGCCAGTTATTTGATCCACAGACAAGTGCAGAGGTACCTGAAAGTGTGGCTGTCCTGAATAGATGACAGAAACTCCATAAGTTCTCCATTTTCCTCCGGGACTTTTAATAAAGTCCTGCTCACTGATAACTAGATCGCTCAGGCAACCCTGATAATCATTCAAAAAGACTAATTCCAGGGATTATTGCAGGACATTGCTGACATATAGTCATGGATTCAAGCTTCCTTATATTTCAGAATACTAAATTGTGACGAATTATTTGTCTCTCGGCACGTGTATATTAAACACACACTAGTAAAGAAAAAGAAAAACGTAAAAAACACTCTCCAAACTAAACATTTCAAAACCTCCCTCTTGGTCAAGCTTGAAAAAGGAGTTGAGACTAGTAATGTACCCATGGACTGCTCTGCTCTTCAGCTGAGATGTAATTTTCTACTACAAGGAGTAAATCTCATCAATGCAGAAGACAGAGCTTCTTGGGAGCCGATCCAAAAATGTAGAACAAATTCCCAGGAACCAAGAATCATCTCAAACCTCACCACCTTCCACTCCAAGTCTTTCCAAACTTCTTCAGCCTGCTTTCTACAACAGAAATGTATTGCATCACTTTAAAAAATCATCTTAAAGCTACCATAACTAACACTACACTGTACACACAGTTCTCCCCCTTGGGAGAGGATGATCTAAAAAATGAACTACACATGACCAGTGTTAGTCACATCATTTAATGGACCATAGGAAGATGCTCAGATACTACAGTGATGAGATCAGCATAGGTACTTACATAGAAGAGTAATCAAACGAGGATTTTATCAGAAGTGAGTATGAGGAGAAGGCTGAACTAAATTAAAGTTGAAGGACTTCTGCTCTGCACACCCAGCTCTCACACAGTTAACTCAAAATGATCTCACTGATGGTGGCTCAAGACCATCTCTCCAATAGCCAAGACTCAAACCAACCAGAGCTTTATAGATCAGTCAGTACCTAGATTTATACCCAAAACCTAATACAGATTTAGTGCAATGGCCAGAGAACAAATCCAACAGGTTCCCTGTAGTTACTGGAACTTCCTGCAGAAGATGGAAGATGAAGAATCTTCAAGTATAGCGTATTGCAATGATACAATCTATAGGTTCATAGAGCCCAAGGCCAGAAGGACTACTGTGATCACCTAGTGCAACTCATATTAGATTTGGGTGAAGTACGGTTTTAAATTAAGTTGGGATATTAGCATGAACAATAGTCCCAAATCATGTGACCAAAAAAGAAGATCATGCTGAAGAAAAGGAGTTGTGTTAAATTTGTAGGTAGCCCTTCAAAAATATCAGTCTTATCTTAAAGCACAGGCTGAAGTAATCGAAAACAAAACACAGTTAATTGGATACTAGGTGCAATAAGTAATTTACTATATAAGAAACTGTTCCATCCGACCTTAACTGAGGTCTGATAATTGGCAATAACATCACTTGTTTGTTAAAGAATATAAAAGAGTCAACTCTAAGAATTCACTGCTCCTATCTGCCTGACCAAGTTGAAGCCAACCAATATGGGCCTACACACTTCTGGCGATTAGCCCATTTGTAAGTATCTTGATCAAATGCTTATAAAAGTGTTTTGTTACTGTTTGGATGTATTAAACTTCTTATTATTTAGGCAGGTTTAGAGCAATTTCAAAAAGTATCTGGCCTTTGTTTTAATAAAGGATATTATAGTTACATAAAGTGTTGTAGAAATACCTTGCATAAATAATACTTCCAACACTTGGTCTGACCTCCTGTATTACAAAGCCCATAGAGCATCAAAATATACATTCCTAGAGCATATCCTTCAGAAAAACATCCAATCTTGAGCTGAAAATTCATCATTGATCTGTCATGGTCCCAGTTTGAAGACCTTCATGGCATTGTGCAACAGGTCAAATGATTCTTCAGACCTAGGAAGAGCAGGGATTTGGATGGAAGGCACCTCTTGTCTATTTGTTTGGAGATGGTATATCAATTCCAGTAATGTATTATGACTGCTGGTAATTAATATGAGTATGGCCTACTTGCGGTCAATTACTGACAGTTTGTTTGTTATTTTAAATAAATTTGTTAATTTAAAAATATATAAAAATGTCCAAGGTTGTGTGTTCTATATGCATATTAGATGTATGAAAAATTAAATAAATCTCTTCCAAAACTAGGTGTCCCAAAAAGAAGAGACTGGTGTTTTTAATTAAGCACGCGATTGTAAAATATATTTTACATATTCCCAGTCAGGGACATGCTACTTATCACACAAAGGAAAGAACTCAGATCATTTGGAACTCTTACACAGAATGCAGGAATAGAGCAATTTTGAAATAATTATAAACTATAAAACAAATGCAACTTTTTTTTATTTAAAGACCTCTATCCAAGAATATCAAACAAAGTTCCTTAAGCTTTGACACCTAACACCCAGATGTAAAGAACTAACAATGGCAGGATTTTCAGAGATGTTGAATGCTGGTAATTCTTATTGACTGCAATTGCTTGGCATCACTGAAAAATCAGGCTGCTCATTAGGCACCTATAAATGGATTTAGTGCCTATCTTCAGACATTCAAGTTTGAAAAATCTAAGTCTATACAAACACTGTATGGTAGAGAGGTGTTCAAAGAACATACCAGTAAGAGGAGGTTTGTGTGAATGAAGAATGCAGGGTACGCTGACAATTAATTTGTGCTCTGGAATTGGAAGAACTTCCATGTCTGATTTCCTGTTGTATAAAATCAGAAGAAAATAAATGTGAAATTTCTCAATCAATACTGTGATACAGGTACCCGTTTTCATGGGGTTTTGTTTTAAATGGGATATAAAATACAGAATACTCAGTCACGGTCAGCCTTCACCGTAAGCCTTTGGGAAGTTAAGTATCTAAATGCAGAGTATATTTGTTTCCTTGAAAGATAAAGGGCAGTTTATTAATTGTCTGAGGCTTTGAAGAAAACATAGTCAATAATGGGATAGAACAACAACAACGAGAAAAAGCCTAATTGATACTTCTGTCACTTTTCAACTGTAGAGTATCACCTATCTTAACCAAAGGAATCCATACCACATCCTTAACATTATGTGCATACAGAAATATATATGGTCTGGTCCAGATCACTGCTATGGTGAGGAATGCATAGAAAACCCCACTTATTTTTTTTTCCTCCTGATACTGGGACAAGTCCCTCAGCAAAAAAGGACAAAGGACTGCTCTTAACTTCTACTGGCAGCCAACAGTCCCAAGCAATTATGACTGCTTCTGCAAAGTGCCACTAAGGGAATGAACTAACCATTTCCCCTTACCGAGGGCCATGCTCCATATACAGGCCGTTGGGAGAGACAGGAGTTGCTTTGGTCACACAGTACCACTGGATAATTCCCCTTTCATTAGGATGGTGCTCCCATGGGCACCTGTGCCAGTTCTAGATGCAGCATAAACTAAATGAAGAGCAAAAAGTGGCTGGCATCACATTGATAGATGCCTTAGTGTACAGGTACAGTACCCAAGTGTAATTTGTAAAGTCAAAATGGCTAAAAAAAACTTAAAAACTTGAGTGTAACACATCCCAAATCCCACTGATTAGTACATCTGGTATATTCTGAACAACAACAAAAAAGCTCTCAACCATGCTTATAGCTGTTTCCATTGCTTCACACGGACTTAACAGAATATACGTTTCAGGATATACATCTAGGCTTCAGAGTCACACACAGTGACAACCCTTATATGATATAGCTTATATAAGAGTGACACATTCAAAGAACCACCACTAGTAAAATACTTACTAAAAATAGTCTGTCCTACCTTAATGGCAAATCTACGCTTCTTTGAACTTTCCCCAACACAAGAACTTCATAGGGTTTCTTGTGGGAAGATTCTAATGGAAATACAAATTCTCCAGATTTGGTAATCTGACAAAAAGAAATGAGAAATAAATTTTGCAAGTGACTTGGCATATAATAGGTACATTTTTTTCTATTAGTTATTGTTAGTCTTTGTTCTTCTTCATACAAAATTAAGATATAAAATTATTGCATCCCTCTGAAAAGATACAACGCACACATTAAGGGACGAAGAAATTACAGAAATATGCAGAAAAGCGCCATGTTGCATGCCCTGCCCCCTCCCATCAAAAGCAAACAGATTCATAACTTACTTTCACCCAGTGCCACTCAGCAAGAGTCTTCACAGACCAATGAGGATAAAGTTCATCCTTAACAAAACGTAGGTGCTTCTGTCTGTTGGTCACCCATGTGACCACAAGACAATTAGGAGCAGCTAGTTCTGGTATGGGAATTTGCTTGATTTGCCATGAAGACAAGTGACTGTATCTGTAGTTCAGTATATTCAAAAAACGTATTAGCAAATACAAAACTAATATAAAAAACAACAGTGAAAAGGGCTAGATTAAAACCCTCTGATATTCTTCTTTAAGGAACATTTCCTGAATACAAAAAAAAAAAAAAAAATCAGCTAAATAAACTTAAATTCAAGTAAAGAGTGACATCCAGTGGTCAAATATGTTGGATGCTTACTTTTATATATTAATTTGAATCCAATATCTTATCCAACATTTTTTACTTAATATTTGTTCCATTCTAAAAATGTCAGCTTGCTAATAATTTTACTTTTGAAAATGGCTAAATTCGTCTTAAAGTTTGATAAAAATTATTTCTTTCAATCCAGTACTCTCACTTGTACACTATCTGATGACACAAGAGTTTGTTTATATTGTTGCTTCCATTCAAGTCAATGTCATTTTATCATTCACTCTCTATTAAGAAATCTTCCATCTGAATGAAAAGCAAATGGAGTAACCTACAAGCGCAATACCAGCTTGATTATCTGGTTAAAAGGTCAAAAAACTAATCACTTCTCAAAGAATATACATAAGTCAATTACCATTTCAAAATACTATTCATGTTAGGGATACAGCAGATATAAAGAAATCTGAATACTGTAAAGTTAATTAACTTCAGCGTGAAAAATACTGTGAGATTTTCAGATAATGTCTCTAATTTATGGAGATCATTCTTTATTCTTTTGAAATGCCATGCTGCCTACACTAGCAACACAGTAATTTTCACGGAACTCACTAGTAACTCAGGATCAGTCTTCTTATAAATAATGCAGAATTATTTCATAAGAATGACCACACTGGGTGAGACTAGCCCAGCATCCTATCTTCTGATAGTGGATAGTGGCCAGGTGCCCCAGAGAGAAGGAAAAGAAAAGGCAACCATCATGTGATCCATCCCCTGTTACCCATTCCCAGCTTCTGACAAACAGAGACTAGGAACACCATTTCTGCCCATCTTGGCTAATAGCCATTGAAGGACCTATCCTCCATGAATCTATCCAGCTCTTTCTTGAGCCCTATTATAGTCTTGGCCTTCACAACATCCTTTAGCAAAGAGTTCTACAGGTTAAGTGTGCATTGTGTAAAGAAATACTTCATTTTATTTGTTTTAAACCTGCTGCTACTAATTTAATATGGTGACCCCCCTAGTTCTGTTCAGTTAAGCACTAATCTCAATACATATTTCTTCTCTCAATTATTTTAACCATACAGACAAATATCCTCATATGAACATTAGGATACTAAATCTCAGACAGCAAGATAGGCCACTGATCTGCAGCAAATATAAAACTTGGAAGGAATCTCCACTGATGTCCTTGGCTGGCTTCCAGCTCAAAAACTGTAGCACTTATACCCAGTGTAAAAGAGACTGCCTTCTCTTCTACAGGATTAAACAGAAAGGTGTGCCATTCTCTGAGTGATGCAGCTATTTCAAAATACCAACCATATTAATTCAAGATCAGAAATAACTTGAGTTTTCTACTGTGACAAAAAGGGGAAGCAGAGGTATGATGGGGATGTGCTTTTTTTTACTGGGGCCCTAAAGATAAAAACAGAATGTGAGAAACAGACAGTACATTGTGTGCAACATTGGTAAACCAGTTGCCAACTCTTGCAACGTCTGCAGGCATCTAGTAACAAATTCATAGCTGGAAACCAGACTAGCTCACCTATCAATTACTACTGTTTAAGATAATGTTAGACTTTAAAGGATGTGTTAAGTATTTAAATTATAAAAAAATCCTTGTATATCGCTGCATGTATTAATCTTACTCGTGAAGTCTATATTCCATGCTACAAGGTAAAATATAAATTTGTTTTATAACTGTAAAAATGCCTATTTTAAACTTATGAGCTCAAACAGGAAGAGTGGCTCTCTCAACCTATCCAGGGCCCATTAAGTGGGCCATTGAAGAATTCTACATAATGTTCAATCAGAAGTCTGATTTTCTTTTTTAATTGCAAGTTTCCAGAGCTACAGGAGTGAAATTATATCACTGTTCACTTTAGAAAAAGTTATAGATCCAAATTCTCTACCATTTTCACCACTTTATATGGTGGTAAGTCCATAGTAACAAACAGCATCCTGTTGCAATGAAATTCCGTAGCTCACTTGAGAAACAGGCCCTTAAATTCTAATGTAATGACTTTGAAAACTAGAGTTCTTAGCAGCTGAGAATTTCAGTATAGTACTATTAATTTTCTACTTCTATCGATCAAGCAGAAAATCAAATCCACAACTCCCCCCCCCCCTCTCCCCAAAAAAAACCCCTCAAGTTTCTACCTTGGGCCCTCGTCCTGAAAATTCTTAACTTTGATATCAATGGTATTACTTGTGGTAGTAAAATGGAGCATATGCATTAAAATTTGCAGGATTGACTTTGTAATACAATTGGCTGTAGGCTATCATGAAAAGTAACTTAAGTGCGAATCATGTTAACTCTTTGGCACATACTGAATTTGAAGCATTTGAGTAGTTTCAGTGAAATACACAAGATTACTCACATAATAACGTGCTTCAACTCAGGAACATGTCAAAGTGTTTGCAAGATCAGGGCCTAAGTTAGCAGTTGTTAATGTGCTGGATCGTATTATCATATTATTTCCACTGTATCTGTATGGAAGTAAAATACCAAAAATGAACACACAATCAGAACTTTACAGTGCTATGATGAAATAGCACATTAATGAAATCAAATGTGGGGTTTGGATGATATTTTTTAAAGTACAAATATAATTTTTTAAAAGTTACCGGTTACTTCTTTTAACAGACTTGTTCTGCCATGGTGGATCTATCACAATTACATCATATTTATTCTCATCTAGAAAGTAAGTAAAATTGAAAGACTTGTTTTAAAACAAAAGCTAAAATTGTTCCATAAAGTTTAAGCAGCTATTTACAAAATCCAGCAGTGGGGCAACATTCTATTTCGCTTTTAAAAATATTTAAGTAAAATGCTTTCAGCTATTATAATTATGAGGAAATTAAAGAAAATTTATATAAGAAAATCTTCAATGTTTCAGACTTTCATGATTGTTCGCTAGGTCAGACACTAATTATTTTTAAATTGCTGACCAGTCACAGCTATGCTTTTATGTCAGACTCTGCTATGTTATGTTGGTTACAAGTGTATTACAAATTACTATTTATGTATTAATGTTTCAGCTATTATTCTACTGATACTGCAACCATCACACACACACACACACATATATGCGCATGCCACTTTACTTGTCATCAGAGGAAAAATCCCTTAAAATTCTTTATCTAAATAAATTCAGGACTTTTCAAATAGAATTTGGTTTATATTATAATCTAATCTAATCCAATATAATAATTGTTTCTCTCTTCTTAAATAACATGTCATATTGTAGTTATACATTTTCAAATGAGTAAACATCACAATTTTATTCAATGGATTACTGGGGAAAGCACAGAAATAAAGTGCTTAGCTAATTAAAGCAGTATTAGTCTATTATAAACTAGAAAACTGGCTCCCCACGAACACCGGCTTTTGTAGAGCCACCTGCCCCATCCATGCAGCTGCTTCTGATAGAGAGGCAGCAGAACAGAGGGTGGGTGGGGCAGGTGGGAGACAATTCACACCAGAGGCCAGCTTTGAAGTTGGCTCCCTGTGTGTACCAGCTCCCATGGAGCTGCCTGCCTGCCTCCCTCCCTCCCCACCGGTGCTGCTGCCTCTCTATCAGAGGCGGGGGGCAGGTGGGAGCCGGTACTTAAAAGCCCCCGGTGTGTAAACATGTACCTGCTAAAAATTTCAGCAGTTACACAATTACATAAAAACACAATTTTTAACATCCCTACTTTGTATCCCTTTGAATCACTGGCCCCCAAAACAACTGCCCTCTTCTCCCCTTCTTCCCCATTGGCAGACCTGTTTACCACCAATACTTCAAACTGCACTGAAGTCTAGGGTCAAGATGATTATTTGAGGGGTGACTTGGTGGCTTAAACAACATATTCTATCAGTGAGCAGATTGATGGGCCACTGACAAAAAGAGGAAATTTTAATGAGTAAAGATACTTACAATTCAGAAGTGGTTGCAAGCAGGAAATATCAGATAAAAGGAACCTGCTTTTTGGTGGCACCAGGTACTTCTGCCCCATTAAATGTATTATCTTTGCATAATCTGTATTGTTTTCTGTAACGCATGAAAGCAGATCCTGCTCTGTAATGGATGTTTCCTCATCTATAATTTGTGCAGGTCGATGGTCATTTTCATTAATAGAAGGAAAATCTTTTGCCATTTCACATAATTCAGCCAATGCACAGCCAACATGTTCTGTAACAAGATTCTTGATGCTGCTTTGCTTTTCAGAAACAGGGTGAAGAAAACCACTTTTGAGTCCTTCTTCGATTAAACACCTGGTGCCCTCCAAAATCAGGCCCCGAATCTGTACAGTGATGAGAGAGACAAAACAGAAGGAAAGGTTGGTTGAAATATCTGGCTGATATCTCTGGAGAAGTAAACAGAAATTTTACCACCTGTTTTCTACATTCTGAATCTGCAGATTGTTACCAGAACCCAAATATATTTAAAACCAAGGAAAACTAAGGATGTCAATATCCAGGGATTTTACTATGGTATCTTTTCAGAAATTTAAACTCACTTTAAACACATATTGTATGTATTAAATTAAGGGTGATAAAAATTAGAGTCAAATTATTGTAACTTGTTTTAGTGAGCATCTAAATGATACCCTCTTAGGCCCTGATCCTAGAAGTCATTCGTGTAGTTGTGGCAGATCCTTGAACTTGCACAGAATCCCAGTTATTATAATCAAGGGTTCATTTACGTGTTTCTCACTGACTATTCTAAGCCTAAAATTACTCTCTGCATCCATCATCACTGTGACCCTATGATTTGCAATTATAAACCAAATAATATTGTCTGGTTAGAATAGAATTATAGCCTTCATGGCCTTAGAATACACACATTCAAGAATACCAGTAAATGCACAAGGAACAACCTTGCAAAAGGGCCTCACTTTGATAAGGCTGGTACCAAACAACCAAACAACCGCGCGGGATTGTTTTTACAATTTGCTTTATTTCTAGGAAATAACCTTGGTTCCAAAGGAGCTAGCTGGCTTTTAGCTCAGAGAATAGAGACTCGTATGTCCATCAGCGAAAAACTGCCACATTGCAAAAGGGCCTCATTGCAAATGCACAAAAACTGCCACATTGCAAATGCAATTGTTCTTGTTTCTACAACAACAATGAATAAATATTAAAACAGTTTGAACTAATTTCACATCCTATGGGGAGTAACAATCTGAGGAGGTTAGCTTTTACTAATATAAATTTAGAGCTTAACTTTCTAATTGTTTAAAAGAAGGCTAGTAGAGATTACTTATATTTCGTTAATAACTGTTTGTTTATACTGTCATTAAAAATACCCAAAGTTGTGCACATAGCTAGTACAGGCAATGAAGAGATTTTATTACTCGTCCGTCTTTCTCATTCCTTCATGAATTGTTTTTATTTAGGCTCCAATCCTGCAAAGTGCTAAGCATGCATTTAACTTTACTAACAAGTAATCTTACTGAATTCAGCTCATGAAGTATATGCATAAGTCTTTTCCAGATTCAGGGTCTTAAACTATAAGCAATTTGGAGCAATGCATTTGTATACCTTCCCGCGTTCTGAACCCCTAATCTGACCCAGTATTGAGTCCTTCACTTGGACACTTGTGAGACCAAATTTTGCTTTAACAAACTGAAATTACAAGATTAATGTTACCATATACTTTGGAATGGTTTCAGAGGGTTTACATTTGATAAATTACCTATAGATACACATTGTACACTGATTGTTACTTACTATTGTTCGGGTTTACCTTTGCATGGTATTCTAAAGCATCTAGTTCCCCTTGGTTGAAAGCACTATACTTTCTTTTACGTTTCTGTAGAGAACAAAATGCAAAAATATGAAAAAAAATCAGCTGTGCTACTACATGGCAAAAAGAAACAAATACTCCTTCAGAGCTTGTAACAATTTGTCATATCCTTCTTTTATTATGAATTTAAATCCTTTGTCATAATCAGCTTCTGTTTTAAAATACATGAGCTGTTACAGGCTCTTACAGCATATGTTTGCCAGTGCTATTCAATGTTACTTATTCCATTTCATAATTCATATGAACTCTAATCCTCACTGCATAGTTTGTCTGAAACTTTTGTTCAGCTGGATTTGGAGAACAGCATGCTATGAGAGAGGGCAGTAATCCCATGCTGACTGTGCTTATCTGTGCCCCTCAACCCAAAACCTATAGCCCCCCCTCCAGGCTGAAGCAGGAAATGAGGACAGCAGTTTACAAGCATGCTATGCAGGAGGGCGTTGATCCTACACTGACTGTATACATCTGTGCCCCTCCACTCCAAACCTGCAGCTGGAGACCTGTTTGCTAGAGCTGGGGGAAGGTGGGGAGGAGTGGACAACAGTTAGGCTTTCACAGATTAGGAGGTGAAAATACATACGTGACATGTTTAAAGAGCTCATGCAATCCACCCACACTGACAGGGCACAACTGAATGCATGGAGGCAAATGTTGTTAGAGGTCATCTGCAGCAAACAGGACAGGCATGCATCCATGGCATATGAGTGTAACATACAGAACAAGATGTTGAGGCTCATGGGGGGGCAAACAGGCTTGATGAGGCACTTGGTAGAGGTGCAGAAAGAGCAGCTAGAACAGAGAACCCCCTTGCACCCACTGATAAACCACATGTCCTCCTCACCAAATTCCACATCCTCCTCTCCCAGACGTCCTAGAATGCAGCGGCAGAAGGGAAGGTTCAGGAAGCCTTTCATACAACTGGGAGAGATGGCTCTTAGTGCAGAAGGCTGTCATTCCCACATCTTTGACTGCCACACACAGTCAAAAAGGCACAGGTCCTCATGCTTCTCCCACACAGAGTTATCAGACCCTTGTTACACTCATAATTCCATTTCTAATGGTGCCCGTGTTCACCGTGCAGCATAAATAAAATTTAATTATTTCATAACAACAGGATCTTTACTTACTGTGCCAACTATGATTGAGAGCGCTGCTTTACAGGGCAGCATCTGTACAACAGTGGGCTGCTTAGTAATGAGCAACATACATCACTATCACATCATTGTCTGATCATTCATGAAATTGATTTTCAAAGCCTCTCTGAAGCGCAGTGCACCTTGATGTGCTGTTCTTATTGCCCTGGTGTCTGGCTGCTCATAACAGACACCCAGGTAACTGATCTGCCTTATTCCCCCACTCTTGCCATTTAAATGGCCAAAGGCACATTCTACCAGCATTCTAAAGCCACTGGTCTTCGTCCCATAGCTTCCCACAGCTGCATAACTACGTGGTGCTACCAGTCTGTGCTTGTTTCCCAGGACCAGAATCAGTGTTACACTGTGTCAGCATGCCCGACTGCTGCTAGCATATGCCAACTGCTCCATTCAATAGGTTCCTGCATGTCTGTATGCGAGGCCTCCTAATATTTTTCCTCACACAGACAGCTGCTGGCTGGGCTCTGGACAAACCGCATGATACTACAGAAGGTGTTTGCAATGCTTGCCGCAGCAGCGTGCAGCTGAACAGGTCCATGCTTGCCATGCTACGACGTATATATGGATAACCAAAGGAAAAAAAGGCATGAATTGATTGTTTGCCGTTGCTGTCAAGGAAGGAAGGAGGTAAGTGTATCATGGGAGGCTGATGACATACCCAGAACCATTCATGACAATGTTTTTGTCCCATCAGGCACTGGGAGCCTAACCCAGAATTCAAATGGGTTCGCTGTGTGGATCATTGGTAGACACTGTAATGGAGATGCACACTGTAGACCAAACATGTATAGTGAGAACATGCACCTCTGACCTTATAAAATCAGATGCTAAATGTCGATCTCAATAGAGCTGACCTAATTTCATAGTGCAGACATATCCTGAGATTCTACTGTAAACACCCTATTACCTATTCAACAAGGAGTCTTGGGGCACCTTAAAGACTTATTTGGGCATAAGCTTTTGAGAGTAAAAACCACTTAATCTTACACATACTTTAGTCTTACTTCCTTAGTCTTTCAGGTGCCACAGGATTCCTCGTAGTTTTTGCAGATAAAGACTAATATGCAGAGTGGAAAAAAAAGTCATCAGTAAAATAGTAAAGTTCTCATTTAAAAATAACAGTTACAATTAAATCTGATCACAAACATGCTATTCCTATACTTACAGTCTAATGGCTCTAGTCTATCCAGCCTGGAAACCAGTTCTTGCTCCTTGAAAGTTCTAGGCTTTCAATTTTTGTTAGTCTGCCCAGAAACATGTGGAAATATAAACACAGGCTAAATAGGATTGCTTTTGTTCTGTGCTTATGTGGTGGTGAACCTGGGCCAAGCATAGTTGAGTTAGTTAAAACACTGTCTAAAGACAGAGACAACATATAGGAAAGGATGTAGGCAGCACAGAAAGGAACAGTGGAGTGGACTGGAAAGGAAAAGAGAAGATGTTATTCAGCACACACACAGCTATCTATATTCCCTTACACTTTTGCCACAGCAAAACTGCCATGGCTTTTGGGTGTAACAGAGATCTTATGTGGGACTATTTTGAAGAAATTAATTCCCTGGGTAAAAAAGGAAAATATATCAAGTGTAAACAGAGCAAGAAGATGATGCAGGGCCTAACTGCAAGAATTAAACAACACAAGGAAAACTGCTTATTGGGAGAAAATTATGCAGATATTACTGAAGAACAATGTGGATCGACTTTGCAAATGCATCATTTTTCAAGCTTCTCTCTATGCCTTGCAGAATAAGTGTGATTTAACAAGTAAATTACCAAGCTGTTTACTATGTTGGATGTTGCTAGACAAAAAAGTTTATTTTAGCTAATCCTTATGGCTTGTTTAATTAGATAACTAGACTTAGAATCTATCACTCAAGTATACGATAGAGAAAGCAGCAGTAAGAGAAATCTAGAGTTGCCAGTTTCCACTGAGCGTCAGTTCTTATTTTATATTACATAATGCATACATCTTATTTTGGAAATCATGGTCATGGACTATAATGGTGATGCCATGAGTCTTTTCCCTATTTTGCTTCAGTATCACAAAGCTTTTCTGGTTACTTGGAATCAGTTCTGCATCAAAATGATAGTAGGAATAGGGAAGATGAGAGCTAGTGGTAGAAGATTTAAGAATACCATACATTTTGTGCTCTGCGGACTTGCCTGTTAGAGTTAATAAAAATTGAAAAAAAATAAAAAAGAATTTAAGGATAGCTATCAGCTGGCAATGCAAGAGAGTACTTCAATTGCGAATGTGAAGCATTTAACATTTAAGATTTAATTTATTACAATATACATGCTATTGTGTTTGTGTGTGTGATTTAGTTCTTATCATTCCTAACGTACTACTGCTGCATCTGCAGCTTGATACAGGTACTGAGTAGTATGCACCATTTTCTAAATTAATACAAAATTATCTAAAAGAATCGCACAAAGTATATCGTCTTAGACCAGATAAAATGCTGAACTGACCTGTAAATGAACATGTTTTAAGTGATCAGATTTGCACTACTGTTTAAAGAAACATGTGAAGTAGTAATAATAGAAAACTTGGCTTAAATCAGTAAGTTTTTTTCTGGTGATTTAAATCAATGATTTAAATTGACTTTATTTAAATCAATCCACCATGTTAACATGGCTACTACTCAGACTTCAAACCTATTCACTTACTCCAGTGGACATAATGCAGAGCCACAGACATTCGGAAGAGTATAACATGATCAATGTAGAAAAGCGGTATAACAACAGCGGACAACAGAGTGTGTAAATCAAAGGTGCTTTCTTAACATATCTAAGAACATTTTCAGAAGTATAGCAATTTCTTAGACTAACAAGTTTTTATTAATTTTAATCAACTGCTTTTTAAGATGATTAAATTTTAATTTTAAGCTACATTCTTTTCAAGCTTAAATATCAACAAAGTTATGACATTTCACTTGCAGCTTTGTTACTGGTAGTTAGGCATTACCTCTATCTCCCTTTCCCCCGATCCGAGTCTTGCATTTGTAAAAAATAGTTTTTATTAATAGACAAACCAGTTATTTATAAATTGAGCAAGTTTAACCAAGAAGTGATTCAGAGTCTAACATGGAGACCAAAATTATTATTATTATTATTATTAATAGACTATAACTACTCTAAGGTTAACAAAACATCTGAAGCCCTATTACAAATCTTTCTTTTCAGTCTTTCCTTCTTCACACTGCTCTTTTGGGCTAAAATGGTCCATAATGGATTTCAGACAAAGGTACTCTTTTATAAAAGTCTGAGTAGAAATGAGCCATCCATTTTAGAAATGTTTTTTAAGAAAAAAAAATAGAGGGGCATATTCTCAGATATCACCATTTTTCATCAAGGGGTTTGGTTCAAACTAACGCATCCCGGCGCTCACTTTCACTTTCGAAACAGCTGTTGATCGGAGTAACGTGCCAGCAAGATCATGCTAATGAAGCGCGGGATATTTAAATCTCCGCTTCGCTGACTATTTCGAATGCCTACATTTGCATCCCTAGTTCAAACTAGGGTGCAAGTGTAAACATACCCTTAGAGTAGAGTCATTATTGGAGGTGCGAGGTAAAAATAACTCAAATTCATATGCAACTAATTCCCCCTCAAGAAGTTAGAAAATATTATAAATTAATTCATTAACCATGTAGTCGACAAAAATTGTGTTAACTACACGATTAGTTGATGAGGGGTAGCACTGCTGCCACTCAATCCCAGCTCCTGCCAGGTCCGGCAACTACCCCCACGGTGGCTCTGCATTACAAGTACTTGTAGTGCAGAGACACAGTGGTTAATGCCAGCTCCCAGCATGAGCTAGGACTGAGCTAGCCTGCCCGCATGCCAGCTCTTAGTGCTTGTAGTGCAGAGCCATAGCAGGGGTTGATGCCGGGTCCCAGCACAAGCCGTGACTAAGCTAGCCTACCCACATGCTGGCTCTTATTGCTGGGACCCAGCATCAAACCCCGCTGCGGCTCTACACTATAAGCTCTAAGAGCCAGTGCGCGGGCAGGCTGGCTCAGTCCCAGCTCGTGCCAGGACCTGGTATCAACACCCATGCTGGCTCTTAGTGCTTGTAGTGCTGAGCCACAGCAGGGGTTGATGCAGGGTTCCAGCACAAGCCAGGACTGATCCAGCCTATCCACATACTGGCTCTTAGTACTGGGACCTGGCATCAACTGCTGAGGCAGCTCTGTACTACAAGCACTAAGAACCGGCACGGGGGTTGATGCAGTGTGCAGGCATGAGCCAGGATTGAGACAGCCTGCCCATGTACCAGCTCTTAGTGCCAGCACCAGCATCAACCCCCACTACGTCTCTGCACTACAAGTACTAAAAGCCTGCACGGAGGTTGATGCTGGGTCCCAGCACGAGCCAGAACTGTGCCAGCCAGCCTGCATGCCAGGGGAGGGGGAGTGTTGCGTGTTTACTAGGCGGGGAGAGGGAGTGTTGGTTGATAACATTAACCAATAAGCACCTGCTTATCAGTTAATCATTTAGTTGAGTACACTATTACATCCCTATTATGTACTGCTGCTGGTGGCAGCGATGTCTTCAGAGCTGGGCAGCCCAGCTCTTAAGGCAGACCCATCGCCAGCAACAGCACAGAAGTATGGCATGGTATGGCACTGCCATCCTTACTTCTGCACTGCTGCTGGTGGGTTGCTGCATGCAAAGCTGGGCACCTGACCAACACCAGTTGCTCTCTGACTGGTCAGCTCTGAAGGCAGTGCAGAAGGGTTGCAATACCGTGACCCCCTTGAAATAACCTTGCAACTCCCTTTGGGGTCAAGACTCCCAATTTGAGAAATGCTGGTCTCCTCCATGAAATCTGTATAGTTTTGTGCTTTTATCCCAAATACCTGCTTTCACAAGGACAGATTCAATTTCAGTCTCGGACAGGTTTTTCATGATTCTGAATTTGGTTCTGCTTTAGTCATGAGCTACAAAACCCTGACATCATCTTGTTAAGGAGCTAAGTCAATCCCTATATCTAGCAAAGGCGCTTTTTTCCACACATTTTGAAATCTGCAGTGAATATGCTTCCCCACGCCCATAATTTGTGCTTTAAATTCTTTCAGGATCTATCTGAACAATTTGCAAGAAGTTGTTATGATAGACTCTTCAATGAGTAGTTACGTTATTTATAGTCTCTCCCCCCGCCCCCCGTGTAGACCATACCTTCCTAGCACTGGCAATCGAATCCCCATCACTGTTCTTGGCTCCTTTGTGTTGCTCAGTTTCATTGCCATTGTCCTTTCCATTCTTGGGACCAGCATCAGAGCTTTCTTGCTGGGACATCTCTTGAGAAGCTGAAACTATATGGGGCTTAAAAACATGAAAGAACTCTTCTCGAAAAACATATTTTGTCTTTAGTGTTGCCTCAGTTTTCTCTACTGAAGTTCCAGTAGAGTAAGTAGTAGCTACAATGGAAGAAGCAACAAGATCCTCCTTAGCAGGGGTAGAAGAAACAGGAGCAACATCAGACGCTGAAGGAACAGGGTATTCACAGGATGGGCAAACCTGGTAGCCACCCTTGTTGATGAAGGAAAGATGATCCAGTAGCCACCCAACTGACAGCTGATGCACCACAGACATCGCTCTCCTTTTCAAGGACAGTATCTTAGAAATTGGAACTGAAATTCATACTTGCTTTCTGGTTTAGATTTTCCTATAATTAATAAAACAGACTTTATAGAATTGTTTATTAAAACATTGCCTAAAGTGTGCTAGGTATTTCAAATACAAAATCTGTTGCTGACCCTACCATCCATTGTTAAGAAAATCCAGCCTTTATACTCCCTTGCCATAGTGCTCCTCATTGTATGTTTATTTCACAAGTGTCTGTATAAAATACAGAATAAATACCTAGTATGCCACAATTTCCTACTCCATGATGGCCAACTCTACAAAAACCAAGATTTTGTCTGGTTGTTGGCATAACTTCAGCTCTTCAGCCACCCTGACACCACCAGCCCATTTTGGCTAGGAGCACCTGTTGCACAGCTTTGCCTCATTCCGCTGCTCCCTATTGTAATGTATTGCCCATGACCTGGGCAACACATTGCAGTAGCATTTCAGGCAGGACCACAAATCCCACCCGTCACATCGCAGCAGCATTGTAGGGTTGCCAGGTGTCCAGTTTTCAATAGGAATGCTGGGTCAAAAAGGGACCCTGGCAGCTCCAGGTGGCACTATCGATCTGCCAATTAAAAGTCCAGTCAGGGTGCAGCAAGGGCCCAGGGCTAAGACAAACAGCTCCCAGAAGTGGCCGCCAGATGCCCAGATCCCTTTGGCCCCTAGGCACAGGGAGATCTGAGTGCTACCCTTGGACCCACGGGAGCTGCCTCAGCAGCACCCATTGATCGTGGTTGCCAACTAATGGAACTGTGGGGCCAGGCAGCGTGACAGGAAAGTCCAGTCAGGGTGCAGCAAGGGCCCAGGGCTAAGACAAACAGCTCCCAGAAGTGGCCGCCAGATGCCCAGATCCCTTTGGCCCCTAGGCACAGGGAGATCTGAGTGCTACCCTTGGACCCACGGGAGCTGCCTCAGCAGCACCCATTGATCGTGGTTGCCAACTAATGGAACTGTGGGGCCAGGCAGCGTGACAGGAAGATCATGCGGCATCTCCCTGTGCCTGGGGGGGGGGGGGGGGCACTCCCAGGGGGCGAGGGC